TACAGATGCTGTGTTTTAAACACCGCTGGAATAATTGATGGACGGGTTGCCATAACAATGGGGCGAGAACTTCCAACAACGCTGCCATTGCTATGGCAACCTATACACAGTGCGCCATGCAGTGTCATTACTGCGCAGGCAGAAGATCTGGAGGTGCATGCTGGGTAGCCAGCTGCACCGAATTCTGGAAACAAATAGGAGAGGGCTTCAGATGCCCACATCATAAATGGCCAGTGCCTGCCTGCTGGGATCCTGTAATTAATGACAGATTTAGAAGTAAAAAGAATGATTACACTTGTAACAAGTGTCCTAATTTGATTGTACAAGTAAAGAGAATAACGGGGGTGCTTTTTTAAAAAAATTGCAACAGAGATTGGAGCTCCGGTTTAATCTCAGAGAGAATACATTCAACTCCTTTAAAGCGGAGTTCCACCCATTTTTAAAAGTTGCTTTCATCTACATGTCCACCTGCAGTGTATTCCTTAATGGATATTAATATATATATTTTTTTTTTTATGTCTGAATACCTTATTTTTATCTGTGTATGCAGCACTTCCGGTCCAGCCGCCTAGGCAATTTCGTCATAAGGTGCTTCCCATGGACTCCCGGGATATTGGCGTTATCTATCACAGGAGTTCAAGCAAATTGACTAAAAATGAAAAATCGCGTTATTTCCCAGATCGCATCCGACTTCCGGGTGTTCTGATTGACAGGTTGCCATATAATAGGGAGGGAACTTCCGCCGATGCCACCATTGCTATGGCAACCTTCAATCAACAAACTGCGCTGCATAGTGTCATTTCTGCCCAGGCACGAGATCGGGAGGTGCATGCTGTGTAGCGAGGTGCACCGAATCCCAGAAGTGAACAGGAGCGGGCTTCAGATGCCCATATATACCATGGCCCCTGCCTACTGACAAGATTGTGTGATCGATTACAGATGTAAGAATAACAGGTATCAATACAGTTATAACAATAGCCAATTATTTCAGTACAAGTAATGACAATCATGATGGTGCTTTTAAAGAAAAATTGCTGTGTGGAGCCTGGAGCTCCGCTTTAATCTTTTCTCATAGCTGAGTTCCTCCATACCTCTCATCAGTTTGGTCATCATTATAGGATATTATATTTCAAAATAAAGTTATAAATAAATCAAAATCAGTCTAGTTGTATATAGTATTCAGCTATGTTTACCTGCATATATGTAGTTCACTCCCCAGTAACTCAGAGGTGTGTCTGTGAATGGTGTTGAATCATATCTGAGGCTTGTTACACTAGTTGATCAAGTTTTATTGTAGTTCAATCAAATGTTTACTGTATAAGTGTGTATTTTAAATTCAAATGTGTCTGATGATGTTTGTAGCCTTTTCACAGTTAATTAGTTTAATGTAACGTGAGTGCAATGCCCAGATGGTTTGGATTTTAGAACATAACTGTTGTTGAAGCTGAACTCCAGCCAAATAAATTCCTAATTCTCCCCCTGGAAGTTCTAATGATGGTTACCCCTCATTTTACCAAAATGGCAGGCTAAGTGCCTGTTTCATATAGGTGACGTAGTAGCTCACTGCCAAACTACAGCTTAAATAAGCCCTCCACAAGCAGCCTTGATACTGATGGAGATTTAAGCATTGGCATCAGAGCAGAGTATGACCCTTGTCCTCTCCCAATCAAGGACTAGAAAAAGGGACACCCAGATTATACAGCAATGAGTGAGGGACACCAACACTACCTGTATGACAATACACAGGGCAGGGAATGGGACTGGTCATCTACTGCTCGATCTACAGCACCAGAGAGCAGTCCCACTGATAGGAAAACATGGAGGACCAGTTGTGTAAGCCCCTACAAAGCTTTTTAAGCACATACACATTTGTTTTCTGATATGGATATAGATGCACTCATATTTAATTTATGTCTAGGATTTAACACTTTTACCACACCTAACTGCAACGCAACTTGATGTGTATGTGTGTTTCCATTCATTTTAAATGAGTGCATGTACACAGGGCACACAATGGACCACAACACACTGCTGGTGTCCATGCTTTTCACTTAGTCTTGGCTGATATGAAAATTACTTTGTTATCCCTTGTAATATTTAGGATTGATTGAATTTTAAGCTTCGATAGTGCTGTCTTCAAATACTAATTTGATTGTTCACCTTTTCACATTCATGTGGTATTCTAATAGTAACTGTTTTTGTAAATGAAAATGAATTATAATTTTTTTTTTCTATTTGCCCAAAATTCACATAAACAAAATTGTTCATAATTCCTAGACCAACCAGCAGAGTAAAAGGGGTATGTGAAGGAAGTGATTCATTTACAGCAGCCGCAACTAAGCTAACTGCTCCCTCTGAGGGCTGTCATCCTGATACTAGAATTAAAGGGAATAAGAGCTACAGTGGAAGTAGAATTCAGGCAATAATGGGTTAAATATTTTTTTTAACTTGGAAACATATACTGCTGATCTTTATGATATAGAGAGCTTCCTTCAAGCCCCATCCAAGGTAAATGAGAGCTATGTATGAATTACAAGAATGTGTTTGGTGACCATTGGTTGAGATGACTCAGATTACAGTTCTCAATGCTTTGGAACTACACTGCTCAAAAAAGGAGCACTTTTTAATCAGAGTACAGTATCAAGTCAATTAAACTCCTGAGATATTGATTTGGTCAGTTACGTTGCAGAGGGGGTTGTTAATCAGTTTCAGCTGCTTTGGTGTTAATTAAATTTAACAACAGGTGCACTAGATGGGCAACAATGAGATAACCCCCCAAAACGAGAATGGTTTTACAGGTGGAAGTCCACTGACATTTTTTTCCCTACTCCTCTTTTCCGACTGTTTTTCACTTGTTTTACATTTGGTTAGGGTCAGTGTTACTACTGGTAGCATGAGGCGATACCTGGACCCTACGGAGGCTGCACAGGCAGTACAACTCTTGCAGGATGACACATCAATATGTGCCATTGCCAGAAGGTTTCCTATGTCTCCCAGCACAGTCTCAAGAGCATGGAGGAGATTCCAGAAGACAGTTACTCTAGGAGAGCTGGACAGGGCCATAGAAGGTCTTTAACCCATCAGCAGGACCGGTATCTACTCCTTTGTGCAAGAAGAACCAGGATGAGCACTGCCAGAGCCATACCAAATGACCTCCAGCAGCCCACTGGTGTGAATGTCTCTGACCAAACAATCAAACAGAATTCATGAGGGTTGCCTGAGGACCCAACATCCTCTAGTGGGCCCTGTGCTCCCTGCCTGGCACCATAGAGCTCGATTGGCATTTGCCATTGAACACTAGCATTGGCAGGTCTGCCACTGGCGCCTTGTTCTTTGAGATGAGAGCAGGTTCACCCTGAACACACGTGACAGACATGAAAGGGTCTGGAGAAGCCATGGTGAACGTTCTGTCTGTAACATCATTCAGCATGACCGTTTTGGTGGTGGGTCAGTGATGGTCTGGGGAGGCATATCCATGGAGGGACGCACAGACCTCTACAGGCTAGACCAGGGGTGGGCAAACTTTTTGACTTGAGGGCCGCAATGGGTTCATATATTGGACCCGGGGGCCGGACCAAGAGTAGATGAATGATGTGTATGTGTGAATTAATATAAATTAAATTAAAATTTGTAACATTAAATGTTTAGATTAATTTAAACACTACCATGCCATCCATAGTAAGTATAGTAATATTCCCCCATAGTAAGCATAGTAATTCATTCCCCATATTAATTCATCCCCCATAATAATTCATCCCTCATATAGTATTTCATCCCCCATAGTATTTCATCCCCCATATAGTAATTCATCCCCCATATAGTAATTCATTCCCCATATTAATTCATCCCTCATATTAATTCATCCCTCATATAGTATTTCATCCCCCCTATAGTAATTCATCCCCCCTATAGTAATTCATTCCCCATATTAATTCATCCCCCATATTAATTCATCCCTCATATAGTATTTCATCCCCCATAGTACTATTCCCCCCCAAGTAGTAAGCCAAGTCCCCTCTGTGTCAATTTGCTTACCTTTGCTCCGCGCGTTCCTCTCGCCGAGTTCCCATGCCGTTCCAGTCTTCAGGGCGGACTGTGAGAGGAGCCTAGTTCCCCTCACGTTCGTCACCCTGCCCCGCCTACACACATCCTGACAGCCAATGTTTGCCTGCCCTGGCTGTTTTTTTTTCTTATCACGCTCCGCGGGCCGGATTAAAAGGTCCGCCGGGCCGTTGTTTGCCCATTGCTGGGCTAGACAATGGCACCCTGACTGCCATTAGGTATCAGGATGAAATCCTTGGACCCATTGTCAGACCCTATGCTGGTGCAGTGGGTCCTGGGTTCCTCCTGGTGCACAACAATGCAAGGCCTCACATGGCGAGAGTATGCAGGTAGATCCTGGAGGATGAAGGAATTGATACCATTGAATGGCCCCCACGCTCACATGACCTAAATCCACTAGAGCACCTCTGGGATATCATGTTGCGGTCCATCCGCCAGGTTGCAGCTTAGACTGTCCAGGAGCTCAGTGATGCCCTGGTCCAGATCTGGGAGGAAATCACCCACGACACCATGTTGTCTCATTAGGAGCATGTCCTGACATTGTTAGGCATGCATACAAGCACGTGGGGGCCATACAAGCTACTGAGTACCATTTTGAGTTGCTGCAATGAAATTTAAGCAAAATGGATTAGCCTGCTGCGTCATTTTTTCACTTTGATTTTTGGAGTGTCTTTGAATTCAGCCCTCTTTAGGTTGATAATTTTCATCAAACGATGGGGCATCCTTCCGTTCCTAACACATTACCCAGTCCCATATCAGTATAGATATTCAGCATGATATTTTTCCCCATTGAGATCAGATGTGTTTTCAAAGTGTTCCTTTAATTTTTTTGAGTAGTGTATTTGCAGTAGATATTTATCTAATTAATCTGTGTATGTATATTCTTGAAGCTCTAATGTGTGTGTTTCTTCATTTTTTTGCAGGTGTCTCTGCCATTATGGGTCTCTGCAAATGTCCCAAGAGAAAAGTTACAAATCTTTTTCTGCTTTGAGCACCGGGTCAATGTTTGTGAACATTGCCTGGTAGCCAATCATGCCAAGGTAAGAGCATGCAATCAGTCTGCTAGTGGCATCTTTTTTTTTTTTTTTTGGCAATCCAAAGAAATTATATATTTCATATACTTGTGTGTTGGTTATGAATTTGGGCATCCACTTGAAATATACGTGTCATGGGACAAATCTGTGAGCTGCATTTGTTGGGCTCATTCTGAGAAAGCTAGTATGTTCTGTTCCAAAATCAAGGAATGTCTCTCCTTTTTTTTTTTTTTTTTGAAGCCCAAATCCAAGATAAATGTACTGTAAGGTACCTCATGTCTACAAGATATGTAGTGATTAATGTAAACACCTTTCCAGTGCCTGCTGTTCATAACTGGTGACAGTTTAGGAAGCTTAAAGGGAACTCAGGTTCAGATTAAAATTTGTTTCAAGCAAATATGTTACAGTCGGGCGGACTGACCATTTGGAAACTCGGGCACTGCCCGAGGGCCCGGGGTCAGTAGGGGACCCCATGAGATGCCCCTGGTACCTGTTTCATAGGCTTTTTTGAGTTTGGGCAAGGACACAGGGGCTCATGATCCCCTATTGCCCGGGGGCCCCATGAGTTGTCAGTGAGCCCCTGGTTAACGTACATTAAATTTTAGCAAATAAATCCTTTACTTGTGTGATGTGTTAAGCTCTTCATATTTGCGATAGTATATATGATGTCATCGGTAGTTATGTTAAATATAATGAGCATCAGTCGTGCTTTTTGTTTAAATAATACATAGGATATTAACTTTTTGAAGGCCCTTACATTACCTAATAAAATCCATAGAGTAGTCTTCAGAAAAACATTTTGACATCACGGTGAGTAAGTCACTGTTTCCATTCCATCCTCCCTCCAGCTCAGAGCAGAAGTAACTTTTTTGCCAGTGGGGTCGACACTCTAGTGCAGCAAAGCTGGAATGACTTAATGTGATGGTAAACCCTTACATAGGCCCACTGAAATGACTAGCCTTAGGTGATAATGTTGCACTGCACAAAACTGAGGGTAATCTAAGGCCTGAGTGGAGGGAATGGACACATCACCTCCACATGGTCTGCACTGGGAAACATGCACATTTAATACTGTCAATCACTGCTCTGTCTTTGAGGGGAATGGGGGTTTGCATCTCTTAAGGATTGTCTAAAGGAAAACTGTCACTTTGACTGCAAATAGCAGATGAAGGAGAAGGCAGAAAGGATCTACTAGTGCTATAGACTTAGAGTGAATGCTGGGTTTAGTAACACTATCTGGTCTTCCACAGTACACAGAACATGGAAATTAAATTCTTTTAGTAAATATAAACTGCTAAATACCTTTTCTCATCAGCAGTTAGAGCAGTCTTGTGCCTTCAGCAGAGCACTGGTTAAAGCTTGTAGGAGTTTTCTTTCTGCTCTAGGAGGATGCAGAACCCCTGACCTCTGTCTGGACAGTGCTGATTGGCCCTGTGCTGATCACATGCACTCTCCCAAGAAAAAAAAACCTCTCCAGCAATACACAGTAAACTGAGCATGTGCATATGGCTATAGGTTCAGTCTGTCTTTTCAGATGGACATCTGAACAAGAGGCGGGGCAGAGAAGTCAGGGTCAAATGGCCTTTTTATACAATGCAATGGATTAACCCCTTAGGTCCCAAACTGAGTATACCAAGCATGCTTTACTGCATATAGAGACTGATTTTACTGTTGTGGGTTTAGTAACACTTTAAGCAAGTGCACACTAAACAAAGATATGCTTTTTTAATTTTTACAACCACTTTAACTGAACAGCACGTTACCATTTTTTTTCAATATTTCCTAAATGAAACACCAGTGCCACTCAGTGGGTTACCCTGGAAATGAAGAGGAAAAAAATGGCATCTCTTTTAACTAGTTTAAGACTATTGATATGCTATACTACACACCACAAAAGACATTATTATAATATACAAGATGTGTGTAGCATGACCAATTCTTCTGCCCCGCTGCCGGGACCTCCTCTCCCATTTCCCAGAAATTTTCAGCTTTGACTAATCACAGCCAGAATTGCTGTGTAGACAGAGCAGCTCTAGCAGCTGCTGCTGTCAAAAAAAGCTGTCTGATTCTTTATTCTCCTCCATTCAACTCTTATTTTCCTGCTGATTTTGTTTTTTTTTTTTTCATTTGTAAATAACTTTGTAATGTTTTGTACCAGAATAATCATTTTAGTTTAATTTTAAACTGGACAAATAACAGATCAAAATGTACTCCTTTTTTTTTTTTTTTTTTTTATATCTGCAGTAACACTATTTTTAAACTAACACTGCTCAAAAAAGAGAGTGCATTTTGTTATGTTTCATCATCTAAGGATTGCAAAAAATAAATAATTTTTGCAAGACATCTCGAAAAGATGTTTGTCCTTAAAAACAATATATGCGTTACCTTGTTTATCGTAAGCAGGGGCGGACTGACAACTCATGGGGCCCACGGGCAATAGGGGATCATGGGGCCCCTGTGTCCTTGCCCAAACCCAAAAAAGCTTATGAAAAAGCCAATGAAAGGTACCAGGGGCATCTCATGGGGCCCTCTACTGAGCCCGGGCGCTCAAATGGTCAGTCTGCCCCTGATCATAAATAATAATAAAGTTATTAGCAAATCAGCAGGTCTGTAACAGAATTGTAAATATTGCTCTGGTCAGCAGGGGGTGAAAAGGTGTGAGAGGGGAAGTTGAAAGATCAATTGTCTCCTTTTAGTGTATTCCCCTTTACTGATTATGGAATGTTCATGTGTTCTGTTCTGAGTAGAGACCATCTCATTGTAATGTTATTATGTGGTCTGCTTGATTTTTTAAAAAGGGAAGCACAATCTATAGAGGATACCCACTTTATATTTTATTACCATCAAGGCTTCATTTCTCTGTTTTTACAGGCTAACTGGGACTAAATTGATGTGTTATCAGTACTGGGAACTCATTCCTATCAACTCTATTTCTTTGATGCAAGCCAGTAAATCTTGGGTTCAAAAATAAGCTTTAAAGTGGTACTAAACTCAAACTTGTCCCTACAGTTAAGCTTATATTATATCTTTCCTGTAGGTACTTTGAATATCTCCTAAGGTGGTGCCGTTTAATAGATATTCATATCAGCTAAAGCCGATTACATCAGTGGCATATGCGCAGTTTGCTACGCATTCATGACACACTGACTGTGCCGTAATTGCAGAGACCACTATGCCATGATGGTGACTTCCTTGCACTTGCGTGGGAGAGACATAATCGTGTCCTGGCAATTCAAACCGCTGGAAAGTGCAAACCTGGAAGGAAGACTGGGCGAAGATGGAAGCATTAGGAGCAGTGACAGCTCAGCTCAGTGTGTGATACTTACTAGCACATCATGGCACAAACCTATAGGAGGGGCCATTAAAAAAAAAGAAAATTGTAGAGTTTACTACCGCTTTAAAAGTGGATATCATATGGGAAAAATACTTTTTGCAGCTTTTTCTCTCTAAGACTTATTTGGTAGGACATGTCTGCCTTTGTTTCACAGATCCTTTTTTAAAACAGTAAGTATAGCATTGCTCTTCGCACACTGATATAATGCTTTCTGTGCCCAGTTACTATACCAAGGTTGTTTAGTTTTTTTTATTTTATGGTGTTCCTAGCTGAGCATGGCCACAAACTATTCATTTTCCCCTCTATAGCCTTCTCTGAAATGTGTGTATATATTTTTTTTTCAGTGTATCGTACAGTCATACCTACAGTGGCTTCAGGACAGTGATTACAACCCAAACTGTCGTCTCTGCAATACACTGCTTTCATCTAAGGATACTGTACGCCTTGTTTGTTATGGTATGAACCTTTTTATCTATGTTGCAAGAGGAGAATCTCTTGTTTTTTGTTTGCTTTTGGTGAAATTATTATAATTATACAGGATTTATGTAGCACCAACCATTTGTGTAGCACTTTACATTATAAAGAGAGACAGTATAATTGTAACATAATTCAATACAACCTATTAGAATCTAATAATGAAGCAATATTTACCAGTTGTAAAAACGTTGCCATCTCCATGAATGTGCATAGAAAGGCTTTTTTTCACGTTACTTTACTTTGCTTTATCAGATTTATTTCACTGGTCCTGTCTGAATGATCTGGCCTCCCAGTTGCCACCAAACACAGCACCCGCAGGGTACCAATGCCCAAGCTGCCAGGGACCCATCTTTCCCCCCAGCAATCTTGTCAGCCCAGTAGCCTCCACACTGCGGGATAAACTCTCACTGGTCAACTGGGCTAGAGCAGGGCTTGGCCTTCCTTTGGTAAGTCACAAGTTATGTTATTTTTTTGAATTTCTATTAATTATCTCTGCTATATAGGGCTGAAAACCTTTTGTTTTACATTTTGCCTTCCTGTTCATTCTCAGTAAATATGGTTATACTTGTATAGTAAACATACAATGTGTAGCTATTGTATCCATTTTCTCTGTTGGCTTTCATTTGGTAGAAAATAAGTATGCCTTCATTACTGTCCTGTGTCATACTTCCTTTTTCTTTATTAGATCGAGGAGCCAGAGTCTATAGATGATATCTCCCAGCATGACATCACAGATTACAGGGACTGGTCAGTTGTGAACTGTGAGTTGTCCATTACTTCGATTTCTCCTACTTTTATATAAACTATGGGCTGTTTCTATGAGTTTAACACTTTGTTTGCATGTCTCCTCAGCATCTTCTGATCACCTATTGGAAAGTCCAGAATTAGCACAGCAGACAGGGTATCTGTACAACTCTGTGCCCGCACCTATAGTACAGCATGGGTTGTCAGGAAGCACATCAAAAGACCATCCTGTCATTCTTGGAGACACTGGAGGGGAGAGTGTGGCTATTAATGCAGGTAAGAGTGGTGCAGGGAGCTGGATATAGGTGATATAACCAGAGAAATGTTCTTTGATCGGGTATTTGAGGGGAACCTGTCACATTAAAAAACATTATTTGTCTTTTATATACACTGTTTGCAACACCCTCATAAACCTGGAGTGTGCTGTCTGTAAAAAAAAAATATATAGGCATTGCATTAATCTCAGAGCCTCTCGCCTACATCCCAGGATTTTGGAATGCTGGACAGTGCGTCTTCCTATGTTTCCCACCCTTGTTCTTACTCCTCCGCACATATCTGTAGGGATCCACCATAAGTCTGACAGAGAAATTCCCATTGTAAAGCAGGCATCAGGTACATCAGCTTCTGCTTCAGTGTTCATTGCAACCACTTGTTGCATTGATGAAAATGAATCAAACATTTTGTTACATTGTAATTAGTTGCAGGTGTTACAGCAGTACACTGGTTTGTTCTCTGATATGTTCATAGCTTCAGTTGCAGCAACCTTTAGGCCCCGTTCACATTATCGCATTGTGGGAATGTCCATGTTTCTGTGCACATTATTGCAGTGTGAGGCACCACACGCTACCACATGCAGTGCAGTTTATGTCAGTTTATTAACATGCACTGCCAAAATGCGCAGGTCTGATTTGTGGGCTGCTGAAGTGCATGCCAGCAAATTAATTTTGAGTAGGCTTTCTTAGACAGCACACATAAACGTGAAGAAAAATTTGTGCTTTCAACACGCACATTTCAGCAGTAAGGCTTGAATCTAGTCTTAAAGAGGTGATTTTTTTTTTTTTTTTTCTTAATGTCGTGATAGGCTGAGAAAATCATAAAATTAAATATTTTGTATATCTCTGCCTTTGAGCTGTACTGTGTCGTTTTCACATCCTGCATTACTTTTGAAAAAAAAAAAGAGGATGGGAAAAGAGGGGAAGTTTTGAAGTCTCAAGAGTATTGATGGGAAAAACAAATATTATTGTTTCTCTAATCATCTTTCAGGACAGACACATGAGAGATGGGAGATAATTCGCTCTTCTCTCTACAGGGAACACAAGCCAACAGATTAAAAACCTCTCCTAGCCCCTCATCTTTTAGTTTGCTTAGTTTGTGTATTTTACCGTCCAGAAGTAAATAGAAACATTTCTTTTTTTTTTTTTTTTTCATCTGGTACCTATTGGTCGTTGGGCCAGTGATTCCACTCTGGTCCCAGATTTTCTGTGGCCTATTTGACTGGAAGGTTCCATGTATTGTTCAGGGAGATTGACCCATGCCAAGATCTTGCCCCACAAACTTAAAAAGGGCTCCTGAAGCCCCTAGGGTTTGCCTCTGTCCCTCAGGTCACTTTTTTTTCCCATGCACTCTGATGATTTTGTGCAGAAGTGTCTGATCATCACTTCTGCATGTCTGGAATTGCCATCATTTGGGCGGTTGCCATTTATGAAGTCTCCTTTTCATCCAGGGAGGGTGACAGTTTTATTTTTTTTTCATCTTGCGGCATAGATCTTGAAAAGAGAGGCTGCTCAGAGAAGGTTATTAACACCTACTTAAGAGCAGAAGGCTGGTAACTAGAATGATTTACTCTAAGGTTTGGAAGGTTTTCTCTGGTTGGTGTAAAAACAGAAATTACCTTCCCACCATTCTGACTATTTTGGATTTTCTTCAGGAGGGCATAGATTTAGGGTTAGCGCTTAGTTCATCGAGGATCCAAGTTTCAGCCCTGTCAGACTTGGATAAGAAGCTAGCAGAGGATCTTCTAATCCCAGAGGTTTTCGATTGTACTCTCAGTTCTTCATAAGGTTGTGCCTCCCTGGGATCTTTTATGAAGTACTCAGTGGTCCAACTGAAGTTCCATTTGAACCTATGCATGATGTATTCATTAGAGATTTGAGTCTTTAAGGATACGTTCACCATTGGGAACATGTTACATTTCACCTGTTTCCCTGTGAACAACAGTCTGGGAGTCTTCTCCCCACACCTGCTGTCACATTTTGAAAACAGAGTGGCTGTGAATGAATGCCTACAAGTACCGCCAATTTGACAGCTTGTTGTTTTCGGTGAAAAGGCTCTGATAAAAGCTCTCGTAGCCCATTGAGCTTCCTGGATTGAAGTAATTGCCTACCCATATCAGTGGTACAGGCAGACGGCTATATTGACATTCTGCGGGATCCTTGCATTGCACTCACGATCTGCTGATCACGGGTACAATACATTACAGGCTCCTAAGAAAAAAAAATAGTAAATTCACATTTTTTTTAACCAGCAAAAAAAATTTACATTTTATTATTTTTGTAACAAGTGAACATAGCCTTTGCAATGGCTTTTTTGTTGGCTGTAACCACATCTAGAAGAATAGGGATGTACAGGCTGTGTCTATGAAGCATCCATATCTTATGGTCCTTTCAGCCAGGATTATTTTGAGGCCTGGCCCAATGTACCTATCTAGGGTAGTTTTTTATTACCACAGAAATCAAAAGATTTAGTGAGAGTCCCAAAAATGACAAAGAAAGTTTAATTGCTTGGATATCTGGAGAAATCTTTTGTAAGATCTGGAATCTGATTTTAGAAGATCCAGTCACATTTTTGATTCTTTTCAGTAGAACTAGGAATAGTTTCCAGGCATCCAAAGGGTTCACTGGCACCATTAGAGACACAGATACCTTTTATCTATAGCGTAGATGGCTGTCAGCTCTCATCTTCAGTCAAGGTACATTCCACATATTTACTGGCAATGTCATGGGCAGAGAGAGTAGGATCACCAGTGGACCAAATCTACAGAGGCTGTCCTGAAAGATTTCTAGAAATACTATTACTCATAGGACTAACAGGATTTTTTTTTTTCTAGCCTCCACTCCTAGGAAAATCTATGATACTCGAGATGCTGCTGGCTCCCAAGACACAGTGATCGATTTTGATGATGACAAATACAGGAGGAGACCGACACTGAGCTGGTTGGCAAGGATACTACGGTTAGTTTAGTACCAAGACTAATTTTAGACTTTACAACTAAAGTACTCTGTTAATTTTACTTTAATGAAATGTGTTTTTCCATGTGAGTAATATGCTGTTTTAGGTAGGACTACACTGAGCTTGGAGAGAGGGACATGCTTTCACAAATAGATCTGGGCCATCTGTGGGTTTTAGCAACTCTTTCCATTTGGCCTATGATAAGCCTAAATCCAGACAAATATGAAAATGGTGTGGACAGTATAACTTAGACCGAGAGAAGGAGTGCCAGTACTAGGGAGCAATAAGCTCTGCAGGAGTACACAAATTGTAGAAGTAAACATTCTGATGAGAGAAGAAAGCCAAGCCAGGGATGACCTCACTATCTTTGTTGTCCAGTCAACAAGCTGGGTCCATGTTTTGATTTCTATAGTAGTGCTGTAGCTGAAGTAGATCTCCTTTTGCTTTGTGGAAGAGATGTGTGAATCTTGAAGCTGGCAGAAGAGAATTTCAAATCCCCTGTCAGGAAAAGCCATACCTGTGTATGTGATTCACAAGTGTATTTAGCCATTTGCCTGGACTCTGGCTTTGAGGGCCCATTTAGATGTAACACACAGCACTGCATACTACATGTGTTTGTGCAATGCAGTGCCATTTTTTTTGAATGGCTCTCTAAGGCATGTGCATTGTGGTGCACTGCCTGGGTTCCAAAACAGGCTGCTTGGAGAGCATGGGTGAAAAGCACTGATTTTGGATTTGGGCCATCTACAAGGCTTTACACCAAACCCAACAAACCACCCACTCTGTTATTCAGTAGTGTAAGGCTGCCACGTATGCAGAATATAGTGTTTTATAAATGTTTTAGAGAATTGCAAAAACTGCATATATAGTACTTTAACCACTTGCTCTACGGAAGATTTACCCCCTTTAATGACCAGGCCATTTTTTGTGATACGACACTGCGTTATTTTGAACTGGAAATTGTGTGGTCATGCATTGCTGTACCCAAATAACATTTATGGCATTTGTTTCCCACAAGTAGAGCTTTCTTTTGGTGGTATTTGATCACCACTGTGGGTTTTTTTTTTTTTTTTGTTTTGTTTTTTTTTTGCGTTATAAACAAAAAAAGACAAGACCATTTAAAAAAAAAAAAAAAAAAAAAAAACTATATTTTTAAATTTTTGCTATAAAACATATCCAATAAAAAAAATTAAAAAAATCTAATTTCTTCATAAATGTAGGCCAATATGTATTCTGCTATATATATTTTTGGTAAAAAAAAAAATCCTTGTAAGCGTATATTGATTGGTTTGCGCAAAAGTTATAGTGTCTACAAACTATGGTGTGTATATTTACTGGATTTTTTTTTTTTATACTAGTCGTGGTGGCGATCAATGACCTATAGCGGGACTGCGATATTGCGGCGGACAATCTGACACTGACACTTTGTGGGAACCAGTGACACTAATATAGTGATCAGTGCTAAAACTATACACTGTCACTGTATTAATGACACTGGCTGGGAAGGGGTTAAACATCAAGGGCAATCAAAGGGTTAAATGTGTGCCTAGCCAATGTTTTGTATACACAGCAATGTGATTTTGCTAGGCAATCCACAAGATTTTTTTTTCTTGCTTTTGCAGAGAAAAAAAATCTAGCAGATTTCTGCTGACAGGACACAACTCTGCCCTGTTTACATATGCAGAGCTGTGTCCTGTCACTCTCCTCGCCGATCAACGGGTACCGATGCCATTGATTGGCACCTGTTGATCGGCTTCTGCTGTGACAAATCCCTACGCCAGGAAGTGCAACATCAAGTTTATATATATGATATTGCACAAAACGGCCACGCTGTAGCAGTAAAACTGCTACAGGGTGGTCTTGAACTGGTTAAAATTGGTAAAATGTTATGTACATCTGTAATGCAAAATCCTTGTAGAACTTTAGACTCAATTGACAAACCTAACACACCAGGATGAGGACAATTATTTAAAAAAAACGGCAGCTATTTTCAGCTCCATATTCTTCTGAGATTTGAAAATCATGGATGGCTAAAAATATAGATCATCATCCTTGTGTTAGGGTTTGTTGAATTATTCCTGATATTCTTCTGTAACTATATTAAAGCAGAACTAAAAGTACATAAGCAGACAGAAGCTTTATTGCAGAAGAGACTTATGTGTCTGTGTAATAAAACAAACTTACCCGCTGGTTCACAGCCTTCTCTGCATGCACAGCCCTGGGAACATTCTCATTACAGTGCATATGTGCCAAAATAAATGAACTCCTGCATATGCGCAGGAATTGCATCATCTCACGCTGACCAATCAAAGCAGCTGCAGACCCAGCACCCTGACAATGCCAGCAAGGGACCTCAGGCACGTTGGATTATTGGAGGAGTGGAGGGTATATGCAGACTAGTTTTGTTTTTAGGTTACACCCTAAAAACATTGAAACCTATTTCTATATTGTCTCCTAGGCTACTCTTACATAGATACTGTAAAAAGAAAATCTGTGTTCCTAGAGAACACTGGCAGTGTTTTATGACGTTTCTTTATCAAGTTGGTTTTGTACTGTATACTGTTACATTCTCTTTTTTTTCTGTTCTCCACTGACTCTGTGACCTGTTTCACTTAAATCTATTATTTCCTTTACAGCAACCGTGCTGGTTCGAAGTCCCGGCCAGCTTCCAAACCAAACAGCGGTTTTTCATTGTCCTAATAATTGGTGTGTTAGGCTTCCTTACCCTAATTTTACTTATGTCCAAATGGGGTAGAGCATCGGCTGAAAATGACCCGAATCTTGACCCATTATTGAATCCTCACATCCGGGTTGGACAAGAGTAGATGATACTTCACCATTCCAGAGAAAAAGACAGCCTTGAACTATGTCCCCATTTGAAATTCCCAGCAGTATACAAGGCCTGTGGTGTACCAGTCAGAAAACTTAACTGATCATCTGATTTGGGAAGTACAACGGTTTGTAACATGAGGGCCTGGACTTACTCAACATCATTTACTTCAAGTCCCTTCAGCCTTTGTACTGAATGAAAGGAAACAAAAAAAAAAACCTGAAAGTGTTGGTCCAACTGTGATGGCCAAGGTGTGTATTGTTTAGACCAGAAGAGACAATGACCATACTTTATATATATATATATATATATATATATATAACTACTGCTTCAGGGATTGTGTGGTTCCCTGTAACTGTTTTTGTGCCTTTAGAAATGGCACAAGAACAACAGTCTGCTGAATCAACAGCCAGAAAGGGCTCCAGAGCCTGAACACAATGAAAGATCTTGTGGAAAAGTTCACCCTTATTTTTAGTCTAATTTTACAATATTGGTTTTCTGTGTCTAATGAAAGCAGAAGTTAAGAGAATTTAAAACCCACAGGAATTGGAAGTCAGATACATAAACATTTTGTATACAGCTATTTTTAATGACCATCCTGTAATACATTCCTTTGTTCCTGTATCTGATTTTTGCTCTTTTTGTCATTCTCCAACAGTGTGAAAACAGTGAAGGAATAAGTAATACAGGGTTCATTAGGGATAAAGTGACCAGCAGTTGTATACTTTTCTGAATTTCAATAATACAAGCTTCTTTCTGATATTGCCATTCTGACAGGACATATTGCTAACAAATAAACACTGAAATATTTAATGGCATCAATAATTCTCAAACACAAATCAAAAAATATACTGGTGATACTGTCCTAGATTGTTTCTGCTTTGTGTATGTTTGTGATAAAAATCAGGTATTCTCTTTCAAATAAACATGGATACTGAGTGCGTTGGACAATGGCATTTCAGTCTTCATATTTCATTCCTGTTTAAGGGTCAATTGACACAAAATGGATATTTCAGGTTTTGGTAGATTCTGGAGAGTTAAAGCATATGCAAACCCAAAAAAAAATGTAATTTACAGCAGCTTGCCATTCCTTAGATGGGGTAGCTGCATTTTTTTTTTTTTTTAGGATTTCTTTCTATATTTATTTTAAATTGGTAATCCTGTGAATATCACACTTCCTGTCTTAGGGTGACTACAATCACTCACTCCTCTGTATCCATGGAGGGATATTTATCATACAAGGCTTCTCTCCAGATTTGGACTACAAACATTTCATCCTCTCTTCATCTCCATTAGGGGAAATTGTAGTTTAGCAAAGACAGCTTGGAAGGAAGATAACATTGACATTACATTTCTGGAAAGATCAATAGGTATTTCCATGCTGAAAATGTTCATCACCTGGAAGAAATAAACCTAATGCAGCTACCATAGTTATGGACTGGTAAAATGCAATATATACAATTTTTATTTTTAGATGTAGATATGCATTAATCTACCTGGCAAATTTTTATTTACCTTTCAAGGACCCTGTTGGTGGGATCTCCATGCTTTAGTACCTGGGTCTGCTTACCTGCTGTGGTCATTACGAGGAGTTTCCGCTTTCACAGTTGAATTTAGTATTAACATAAATCTATGGATTCATAAAAAGAAAAAGGCAGAAAATGAAGGGAGCAGTCAAGAACAGAATGGGGATATAGCAGGAAGATCTTTCTTCTGGAGCATTCCTGACTTGACCCACCCGATTCACCCCATTGTCAAATCATTGTAATGTTGTTGGTTCAGAAAATCTGAAAGGTCAAGATAAGGCTGGGAATTGAATTTAGTAACTCACTGATCTGTCATTTGACAGCGATTACCACACAAAGAGGTGCTGCCTATACATGGCTTTGTCATGACATTCTCTTTCCTTCTGTCCATGACTGACAGGCATTATGGAAATATATTTGTAAATAAAATTCAGCACTATAAAGTCACATCCATAAATGACAGTCCCATCAAATTGGTATATCAAACTTCATTCATAGTTCCTCTGTGTAATATATGAGTTGATGTTGCAGATATCCTCCAATAAATATCAGTCTCCACCAATCGGAATCAGAAGAATTGCCAACTCCCCAAAAATATACGCTGCCCTAATATAAAGTTAATCATCAAAAGACCATCCAACCATTCATACTACTAGGGAACTGCTCCATTCCTTCCTTTTTTGGGAATTAAAGTGTTCCTAAACCCAGGACCCTGCATTCACTCTGTCTGGTCTCCCACAGTACACGGAAATGCAATTATTTTAGTAAATATAAACTGCTAAGTACCTTTTCCTATCAGCAGTATATAGCAGTCTTGTGACTTCTATCTGTGTTCAGCAGAACACTGTTTAAAGCTTGTAGAAAGAGTTTTTTTTTTGTTCTGCTCTAGGAGGATGCAGGACCCCTGACCTCAGTCTGGACTGTGCTGATTGGCCCTGTGCTGATCACATGCACTCTCCGAAGAAAAAAAGAAAAACTCTCTTAACAATATACACCAAAAAGAGCAGCATGTGCAGAGTGTCTCCACACGATATGTCTTATCAGGAGATAAGAGGGTGGACACTGGAAGAAGGGGAGGATCAGAGAAGTCAGGATCAAACCGTATTTTTACACAATGCACAGGGTTGACCCATTAGATTCCACAGTGAGTTTAACAAGCATGTTTTACTGCATATACAGACTGATTTTACTGTTGTGGGTTTAGTAACACTTTTAAGGCTTGTATCAATGTGACACCAAAAACAAATAAAAACTATATACTATAGTACTCCTATATGAAATTAAAATATTTCAACACCCATGCATAGGTGACACTCCTTGATAAAATCTGTGTTTTAAACTCCACCACCCACATAAAGTGCATGGTCACTGTTAATATGTGCTGCTCATAGGGTATTCAGCAGATAGCGTATCAACACAAAATGAAGCTCTGGCATCAATCTTCTCTTCCACCAACTTTAAGTTCCTTTTATCACTTCTCCTTAGGGGGCACTGTCCCACTCTCGCTGTTAAACACCACCACAAGGCAGCTGTGACTCTGTGGAGCTGAGGGGTCATTTTAGCTTCAATGCCCCCTGAAGCTCAGCTGATTTTTATTGGGGGATATCAGGAACATCAACTCAAACTACACAGAAGCGCCTCCAGCAAAATTCGAAGGGGCAGGATGGAAATTTTTTTCTTGAATGAACAAATTTCTGTGTATGAGATTTTTGTACAGTAAAGTCCATTCGTTTCGAAATGAAATGTTAAAAGCAAACAAAATTTTTTGATCAACATTCAAAAGTTCTGAGAATTTACATACAAATTTTCCGATGACATTTCCTAAGATATTTCATTCAAAATTCTAATCATCTATGGCGAGCTTTACCTATGCATTTTCACTGTTTTTTATCACGTGGTTTTTTTTTATTTTTTTTTTTTTTTTTTAAGTTCTTGAAGCATGGATTATTTTATGCTGTCACAAAGTTATACATATAATATCCACATTAATTTTTATATGAATTTTATTTTGGGAGGGTTGTGTTTATGAAGGAATGTTTATTTAAGTGTTTATATTTGCTGTATGATTTAAATGATTAGTACAGCATCTACTATTTGATTTATGTTAGAACACACTGATGACTATATAGTTAAGAGCACAGTTTTGGCTAAGAGCAGTTGTTATAAATAAGTATCCCTATCTTTTGGAAAAGCGCAGGATCCATAGTATTATAAATCCAAAACATACACTTTTGTAACTAGAAATCAGAAGTGAAAACCCCTTCTTTTCTTGAACATTCTTTATTTAAAGGTTTTACATACAGATAGAAATGTTTCCCAGACAAGCTCAGAGTGCAGGATAATCCATAATTGCTGCAGTATGACATACTGGATAAAACAATGAGTGAAAACCCCTTCTATTTTATCACAAGTTTGAAATCTTTAACACGCAATACATGTATTTTGTTCTCCCTTTTTAATCCTTTAAAACAAGATCCCATTCACCTCTGTAGCTATAGATATTGTGGAGAAATTAATCTGCAAAGATATCAACAGAGGCACTGAGATCTAAAGGGCTCGTTCACACTTGGCTGTTTTACCAACGCTTGCCAAACGCCCTTATAGCGTTGGCAACCTGTCTTCTATGTAAACACACAACAGGTATTTCTAAGCCTTTCACACAGGCTTTTTGACCTGGCCTGCCTGCCAGCCAGTTTTCATGGGCAGGGTGATGTAAACAGACCTGTGTCCCCTCACACCCACCTACCTCCAGGTCCAGAAAATGTGATGGATTGGAGGTAGACTGGCATAAACAGATGCAAGTCCATATACGTTGTACATCAGGCTGCCCATAGAGCTATCACGGTCCGCCTGACACAAACTAAATTGGCATGGCTGTCAGAAAACTGATAACTGTCCCGTTCAGCTCTAATTCCTTGGCTCTGTGTGAAAAAGTCCTAAGAAACTGACTGTACTCCAACTTTAAAGTATTTGTTTTAATATTTGAGGATCTTCGAGAATGGATTACTTCACAGTACAAGCAGCTTGATACGCCAGGAATGGCTAGTTTTAAAGCTTTTTCATTGTCTAGGAATATGTAAATGTGTTAAAATGCTATTAAACCAAATGGTAAAAATCAAATATAATATTCCCTAATTAATGATGAAATATTTATGTAATAGTTCTTCTCAGTTGACTTCCTTTATGAGGGTGGCTATGCTGGCACTACATAGTTCTACTATATGTGGGATGTAGTTACCCTCCTGTACATACCGCTGCATCTAGCAACTGCATATAAATTCTGTTTGCAAAGAGAAATCCCTCTCATTCATGACGTAAAATATGTCTGCAGCCCTTTCATCACTCCCCTGCCCCAGCAGCCCCACAGTGAATCTTTGTAATCTGTGTGAAACAGTGCACGGGACCATAATACATGTATGTTGCTCATAACACAAAACTAGGAGTTGGGAAAATGTGGCTAGCATGGTGA